TAATTAGAGTGGCTCCGAGATGAGGCTCGGAGGCTGTTCTTTCTCAAGAATTTGGGCATGGGGAAACTCTCAACCAGTCTCTACATCTCGTGTATCAGGGTGGTCCTCATGCTTTGTTCAATGATCTTTAGATAAAGTGCCCCTGCCAGCATTTTGAAGCGCGGGGACACTGATACGTGAGACACAGAGGATATCTGGAACATGGTAATTATTGTGCTCCAGCAGACTCAATTAATTGAGTCTGTAATTACAGCACATTGGAGCAGCCTCCCAGCTTGTGTACAGGCACCCAAGAAGTCCAGGAGCAGAGTACAAGGGAGAGAGGGGGCTGTAGTTCTGAGGGAGAAGTGCAGAGCCAAGTTTGCCCCTTTCAGGGTCTGAAGGAAGATGGTGAGTTTTGGATTTGTTTATTTGTTGTTTGCACACTTGCATATTTCTTTGTTTTGGGGAAGTTCAGGCAGCCTTATGGAGCCTTGAGGCAGCTTTGGTCCAGGCATATAAGACCCTTAAGGTCCCTATATTGGATTTCCTAGGTCTAATAGAGGAGGCATACTGGTGCAAATTTAGACAGGAGGCATTTAATCCTGATTCTCGTCCCTGAGCTATAGTCCAAAGATTAAAAGACTTTTGCACCCTTTGGTTAAAGCTAGAGACTGTTGCTGTCAGAAATAGTAGAACTAATGATTTTAGAAAAGTTTTGCTCCATACTCCAACTGGGACCCTGGAAGTCAGTCTACCAGAAACAGATGTCCACCCTGGATGAGATAATCCATATGGTTGAAAACCTAATGGAGGCAGACCTGGATTGTATGGATTCCCCAGTGGGGGATACCAGCCAGGACCTTAAATACTGGAAACTGCAAGTGAGGGAAGAACTTTGGAATAAACCCTGGTCATATGTAGTTCACTCTTCCTTTTGGCATCCACTCTCTGCCATTGTGTAACACAGGATAGTGGGCACCATCCACCATCTGGGCAAAGGATCCATCCAACACGAGATGGATATATGGTCTGACTTAGTAAATGGTAATTCTTATATTCTTATAACCTGACCTCTGAGAGGCTGGGATTGTAGAAGAAGCCAGCTGCAACTTTGAAGGGACCTTTAGCTAGAACACCACTGCCCAGGACTCTACCCTGCTTTCCTTCAAGACTGGGACCTGACAGATGGGCCATGACAGGCTGCATGGGGGAAGAGGGTAACTTCGAGCTGGCTAGTAGCTCGACAGTTAAATTAGGTGGTTAACTAACTTGTTTTAAATGTAGTGAGGACGGCCACCAGTACAGGGACTGCCCTTAGATGGATGGTGGGTATGCCCAAATGTATATGTCAGGGGGACTGAGAAAGGGCCCAGATCTGAAGGGTTATGTGATGCCTGTCTGGGTAGGTGATGTCTAGGTCATAGGGCTGGTAGATCTGCGTCCAAACAGACCTTTATACATCAGCAGTTTGTGGACCATGAGGACTTTCAAATGTTGGAATATGTCCATGTGATGTGTATCCATGGGAATGTTGGTCCAGGACCCAGAGTCCAAATGAGCCTAATTATCGGGAGATAGAAGGTTAGGATTGTTGCCACTGTGGCCAGCCACGTGACCTACCCAGTGGTGATTGGTCAAGATTGGCTCTTCATGACCAAACCGTTACAGTTGGCCTGGAAGGTTGAACTCAGTCAATTCCAATCCAGCCAAGCTAGATTTTGCTGTTTGCTATTTGGGAGGTCCTACAGTCACCACCAGGCTTTTTTCCACTTGGGTTATTAAATAGAAAGCAACCCTGAGGGAATGGCAGAGCTCTCAAAGGAATTCTGCCAGGCACCAAAGCACAGAGCGCAGTGTGACATTCAGGCTGTGGGAGCAGCCAGATTTGGTGGGAGCCTTTGCTAAGGAAAATCTCAAGGTGGCACAACAGGCCCAGGAATATCAACATAACAAAAATGCCAGGTTGTGGAACCAACCTCTTGACAGGGTGGTATTTCTTCTCCCCTCCATGGAGAACAAATTGTTAGCTAAGTGACAGGGCCCATCTGAGATCCTGTGTTGAGTTGGGTAAGTGAACAGTGAGGTGTGTCTGGTGGGGAAGTGGCAAGGTTCCCAGATCCTACTGTGTTAATCTGTTAAATTCCTGAATGACTTAAGAAGCCAGTAATGTCCTCAGCTGTCTGTTTAAGGCTGGCCTTGGTCTTGCAAGGGTTCCTCCAGACTCTAGTGTAGCTCTCTCCCTGGGGGAAGCTTTAACCACAGCCCAACAAGGCAACATGAAAACACAGTTAGAAAAATGTCTAGATGTTTTTTACAAACATTCCTGGGAGACCTGCTCTAATGGATCACCAGATTGTCCTTAAGCTGGGGTTTTCCGTACAAAAGGGATATTCATGAATTCCAGCACATTTCAGGGACATGGTACACCAGGAAATTCAAAGTATGCTTTAATTGGGGGTGATAAAAGAATCTACTAGTACCAGTTGTGCTGCTGCTGAAGCTGGGCCTGGCTTTCCATTTTTGTATTAAGTTTTGAAAAGTAAATGCAGTCTCAAAGTTTAACACCTTGCCAATGCCCTGGATAAACAAGATGCTTGAAGGAAGAGGAAAGTCCAAATGTATTATTGCCCTGGTTTGACAAAAGGCTATTGGCAACTACCGTTAGCCCCAGAGTCCTGAGAAACCAAAGTATTTGCAACACCATGGGGATACTATCCATTTCAAATTCTGCCTTTTGGACTCTGTGGAAGGGCCAACTGCCTTCCAGCACTTTCTGGACAAAATACTCCACCCACACTGATCACATGCAGTCACATACTTGGACAATGTGGTAATATTAGCCAGCACCTGGGATGAGCCCATCTGCAGATGAAAGCAGTACCGCACTTTTTAGAGCTGCAGGCTTCACAGCCAGCTCAGCTAACCGCCAGCTTGGTTGTAGAGAGACCAAGTACCTAGGATATACCTTCAGTCCTAGGAAACGAGAAGATGATACCCCTAGTGAAAAAGGTAACGGCAGTGGTGGATTCCTTAGTATCCACATCAAATTGACAAGTGAAATTATTTCTAGGACAGGTGGCATATTGACACATTATTCTGCAGTTTTCAGCTATTACGGTGCCTTTGACTGGCCTACTTCAGGGAGAGGGAACAACTAGGAAGGCACAGTGGTCAGCAAAGGGTACAGAGGCATCTGGCATGATAAAGTGTCTCCTCTGCAATGCTCTGGTGTTGCACAATCTGGACTATAAGTGAGAATTTGTTATAGACTGATGCCTCCAGATGAGGCTTGGAGCCTGTTTTTTCTCAAGACTTTGGGAATGGGGAAACTCTCAGCCAGTCTCTGCATCTTGAGCATCAGGGTTGCTGTGTTTCATTCGATGAGCTTTAGATGAAGTGTCCCCGCAGGGAGTGCAGGGACGATGCTACACAAGATGCAGAGACTGGCTGGAGCATGGTAATTACCACACTCCAACATACTTGATTGATCAAGTCTGCTTGGGTGCGCTGTAATTACAGTGTGTCAGGACAGTCTTTGTGCTCATGTATAGGCATCCAAAGAGGGTTAAGAGTTCCAGGAGCATTGTTCAAGGGGGAGAGAAGAGAGGAGACAGTTGTGCTGAGGGAGAGGCACAGTGCCAGGGTTGCCTCTCCCAGGCTTTGAAGGAAGATAGCAGGTTTTGGGTTTGTTTTGTTCCGTTTACTGTAGCGACAAGTTTGCCCCATGTAAAATAAACTGATTGGAAACCCATAGCAGATGCCTCTATATCAAGAAGTAGGGTGAGTGACCTGATTACACTGGGTATTCTAAATGTTTCGGGAAACAGAGACCTGATTATACTGTTCCTTGTATCAGTTCATTTGACCAGAGTTACTCCTGATTTCCCATGCTGTACGTAAGGGCCTTCTTCCCATTATATATTCACTTGAAATCTTGAAAATTTCCACACATGGATGAAATCCTTAGAGGTTTTCATATCTGTTCCTGGGATTTTGGGATTCCCTTGTGATTTTTTTTAAAACTATTTCATAGGAACTCTGCAAAGTGCCTGGATAATGGGTAATGCACCTTTGCTATATCCGGCACTGCTATCCAGATCAACCTGGGAGAGGTATACAGCAGTATCACAGGAGAAATTCATTAAGTTTTGCCATAAATCCCAACAGGGCACTCTTTGAGCTTTCAAGAAGTGATGTCTCAATTGCTCAATTCTCTTTTGGCTTAAAAAAAAAAAAAACTAGCTAAAAAAAATTCCCCCTAATTCTCCTGAAGAGCTGTGTCCACAACAAGTCCCAGATTACAAGCATGCTGGCTAGAATCCCACTCCTCAAAAACTGAACTGTTCATTCCCTTGTACTTGCTCTAGTTATGTACATTTGGGCACAGTGCATTTTACTTCTGCTCCCTGACCGGGTGACTAAACCTTTTTAGATGGGAGCAGAACAAAGTGAGAGGAGCAGGAAAATGAGAATAGGGCATTTTCCAGTATGACAAATAATTTGTGCTGAAATTTCGGGGCTGCATTAACAGGTTCACAAATAAACCACCAGTTCCTTGAGCCCTTGGAATAATGAGCAATGCAATCCCACAAATAACAGGGGAGTGAATTTGTTTCAGAAATACTTGCAAGTATCTTTAAATTAAAAATTATTTACAGTATTATCGTTTTTGGTGCAAGTACTATATTGCTTCTAGGACCTCCATTTCATGGACTTTCAGGTTCAATAGTCATTAGGAGTGCATAATTAACAGTCATCACACTTTTTTTCTGGCAATTTTAAATTGTCAAAGCAGCAGCCTTATTAGCTTTCGCACTGTAACTGCTCTCCTCCCACAAGGAAACATTTTGTTTTTCATCTGTGACCTTTCCTGCAGTAAATTCTTTTTTCCATGCTCTCAGGATCATTCCCTGGGGCTTTGTGCTAAAACAGAAATGTGGTGCTAAGCTAGTAATTGTGAGCCTTGTCTTGAAATAATGCTACACAGACCCACATGGCATGCTTTTATCTCTTATTAGGAAAATTGCTGCTTATGATGAAGAAATTCAGCAGCTCTATGAAGAAATGGAGCAGCAAATCAAAAAGGAGAAGGAACAGTTTCTCCTGAAAGTGAGTTTCCTTTTTGTTTTGCATATGGATACTGCTGTCACTTATACCTGTTTACACCATGATAATTTCATTAGTTTCAGCCAGTAGGAAAAGAGAAGTAACCTCCCCCCCCCACCCCTGCCCTCAAAAAAATTGAAAAATTCAGTAAGATAAAGCATAAATTTCTTTACGACGCTGTGTCATGAGCTCAACAGATCACAAGCTCAGATGCTCACAAGCTCAAACTACTCAGATGGGATACGGAGGAGTGCTTGAGTTCTGCACGATGCTGTGATTCAGAGGGTGGTATTAATTATCTGATACAGCTAGTAAACCACTGGCCCATGCTGTAGGAGCTTCTGGAGCTGTCATCTTGGGCAAGATTTAATGTCAAAGTCCTGACTATTTCTGTTCATAAAAGATCCCCTAGCACTGTTGACAATAGCACTAGTCTTCATGTCCTGATCAGATTCCTTTCTGAGTAATTTATGTGGTGGCATACTTGCAAGGTTTGTTGCAAGTCTGTCTTGTTCCTGGTCTCTGAGCATGCTTCCTGGGATATTATAATGCATACCTTTTTATTACTTTACTTTTATTTCCTTTTATGTCCCCTGGGGTAGAATTTTCTAGTTTTCTTACTCTTAGGCCATGGACAGATGCTCTGTATGAAGTGCTTCAAGTGCCTTTTGAAGTGCCAGAAACATTCACCCTTGCTGAAGCCCTTCAAAAATGACTCTTGAAAAAATAGAAACAAATTGGAGCGGGATTTGGAGCTTTTCAGTTTAATGTTTGTTCATACCCTTATGGCTTGTGAGCTGCTTTGCCCTGTATATAAGTCAACTGGGCTTACCCCAGAGGTCCCAACTGGGTTTGGCCCTTGTGGTTTATCCTCCTTTCTGGATTCTGTGATCAATGATAAATATAGAGAAAGGGCAGCCTTCCTAGACCATTTCAGTACTTACTTAACACAGCAGGAACAAAGCATAAGAGAAAAGGATTTTAATGCAATAATCTACATTTATATTGATCTTTCCTAAAGGCATACTGTCCCCTAAGGCAGGCTTCATTTTGTTAGCCACCCCAGTGGGTGTCTGTCACAGCTGTCTTCTCCCCCAACCCTAAACAGCTTTCTACTACTCACCCAGTCTCTTGAGAGTCTCTTTTTCAGTTGCTATTATCCTTCCCCATTGTATTCCCATACAGTTTTCCTCTCTGCCAGAAATATACCCTTCTTATATTAAGGGTTGCATATCTGGAGTCATTTGGCTTTCTTGTTTTGTTTCCTCACAGGTCTGTGAGTGAAACCAATATATCTTTAAAGTTTAGTATTCCAAGAAGTAGGTCAGCATACAGTAGTCATTAATTATTCCAGAGCAACTCTGCGTCCATCGAATATGATGTTTTAGATGTTCCCCTAATTTTCAGTTGTATCATTTTTTTTGGTTTTGCTTTCTGCCGTATGCACCATCAGGGCCTAACCTAATGCCTACTAAAATCAGTGGGAATCTTTCCATTGCATTCAGAGGATGCTAGCAAAGACTTTTAAACAGCAATGGTATTTCACTCTGGAGCTGGTTGAACTACACTGGTGGCTGACATGAAGTGATCAGCATCTGATTAAATGAGCCCATGCTCATGAGAACTTATAATTTAGTTAGGCTACAAGGTGCAAATCTACCCTGCCTTCTGCCTGAAATGAAATAAACCAGTGGGTTTTGTGATTCTACCTCATGAAATTTGCTGTGGAAGAGACTGGGTTTTGAAAATGCTCTAATAAAAATAGTGAACTATTGAAATAAAATTGAAAATGTAAAAAATATAAAGACGCTTGCCTTGAACTGTTACTTAACTTGCTCATGATTAAAGCAGTGTCATAAATTCTCTTATTAATTCATTCATCTATTACTATGTCAAGCCCTTGTCATAAACCTCCTCATTTTAGTTATTTTAAGTTACTCAGCACTTGTACTAGCAGGTATCAGACACTGAAGAATCATACTGTTTCTTGGCTTGCCTGATTTGTTTTTTGAGTGAATTTTAACTTCTTTCCATAAATCAAACTCTCAGGGACACTACGTACACTAATGCCAAGTGGAAAAAGGAAATGATTACCTGCTCACATAAAAAGCAACACTTGAAAAAATACACTAAAAGGTATTGTTAAGGAGCCAAATAAATCCAAATTATTGTTATTTAAGATAGTTGGTAACCTGCTGACTGAGGGCTTTATTTAAAGGAATGGTTACTGTGTCTTTATTCATTTGGCTACGTAGTCTTCTGCATAAGGAGCCAGTTAACATGTATTAAATTGCCCCATTAAGTATATTCTTAGGAGCCAAAGTAGAGAGGTAGGAACATTTCATTGTTCCTGTGCTCACCTGTTTTAGGGAGATTTAATCATTATCTAACAAGAGTTTTCCTGGGGACCTTAGTGGACACTCTTTTCAATTTTAAGTGTCTAGAACAGGGATAGACAATTATTTTGGGTATAGGGCTGCTTACTGAGTTTTGGCAAGCCATCGAGGGCTGCATGACAAGCAGCCCAGGGCAGATTAATATTACATTTCCTAAATTTTTTAGGGGCCCCATGGGCTAGATAAAATGGGCTGGCGGGCCACATCTGGCCCCCGGGTCACATTTTGCCCACCTCTGGTCTAGAATTGCTGACAGTTTACAACATCTGAGGGGCTGTCTTACAACTGTAGTTCGTAATGGAAGCAGGGAGAGTTCTCATTTATTCAGATATTATTCCATATTAGTTAGTTAGCTAGCCATATAATCAGAGAGGAGGGCTCCAAACACTTGAGACCCATCTCTTTCCTTGCTTATACCAGTGTAACTCTTACCCCAGTGATATTATTCTGAAGTTAAACTAATGTGGTTAATAAATGGATTTGAAAGCTAGAAGGCGCAGCATTTAAGATGTGCTGTCTTGCATAAAAGGGTCTATAGAATTTGACCCAGTAATTCCTAGATCAAGCTCAATAACTTGTGGAGAAGTGCCACTTACCCAACCTCAAGATTTGCCCTCCTGAGTGAGGGAAAATTCACCTTAGCCTTACCCTAAGCTATTTTCCTTCACTCTTCACAGCCTATCCTGATTTCCAGATCTGATAACTTGTCTTGCACCTTATACCCTGGACACTGTTGCCTACATGAATAAGACCAGGCTTTTTTGTTTAATTTTCACCTCCCTTGTTTTTGCAGGACACGGAGAGATTTCAGTCCCGCAGTCAAGACCTGGAACACAAACTCCTATCAAAAGAACAAGAATTGGAACAACTGATTCAAAAACAGAAAAGGGTACTTAACCATGGATTTGTCCATATGACTTCTGGCTTCATTGTTTTTCTTTCTCTTGTGCCATTAGCAGTATTTCAACTTTTTGAGAAATTTTAGAAGCTGTAAATCATCAGGAAAGCTATAATTCTACAGTGAAACCTGTTTTATATTCTCTTTATTGATTTGAAATCTTTGAACAGGAGTAGTACACATGTCCCTTTAAAGGGAAAATTCATTAATGTTAAGTAAATATATTGAGTAAAGTTTTCAGATGTGCCTTAGATGCTTAGGGCCTGATCCCTAAATGTATTTAGGCACCTAGGAAGACTTTTTTTTTTCCTCAAAAGCTCTGCCAATTGCATCATTAAGTGCCCAAATACTTGTAAAAATCTGACCCTCTGGAGAACTAAATAGATGATGTAGGCACTTAAATCCCTTTTGAAAATTGGATTGAGGCTCCCAAGTTGCTACTACTTTGAAAAATTTAATCTCAATTTCTAAAGTACATGCTTTCTTTCATAAGACATTACAAAAACAAGGATGCTGATTTTTATCTCCCTGTTAGACTAGTTTTACACACCTATAGAAGAACCCAGTAGCTTTAATTTAGGCTAGAGAGTGACCTAATTCCTGGGCTGCTAAAGATTAAGGGTCCTAACGCCATCACTGAACACCCCTGTACTGGCCTGGTGTCAACTGCTACTTAGTTATGCTAGAGAACAAGTGCCATAAATTTTAAATTGTCTTTTAAGTACACTGGCCTCTGGCCTCATTTCTCTAATGTCATTTTACAGTAGCATATTTCCCATGATGCCACTGGTGTGCCCACAGATTTACATGTGCTTAAGAAAAGAAAGGCTGGATTTTGGTCTGCTACTCTCATTAGTTCACTAGAATGGTACTGGCTTGTCATGTTTCCATATCAGTGCTTGGTGTCATTTGTTCTACAAAAATATATAGCCTCCTTGGGGAAGCATAGTACTTCCAGCAAAATAGCTGCAAAACCCGTGAAGGAGAAAAGGCAGGATTATTTAAACAATTTTAAGAGTGAATTTTCTGCTGATTATACGACTGAGAGTATTGCTGGAAATGGACTTGCTCTGTTGAGCTGCAGAGTACTGTAAATGTAACCTGTTTTTTTGGGCGGCCTTGACCTAGAAGATCACTCTGTTGAGAGCTAAGAGCAGTTCAGTCCCTTGTGATCCAGTGGTCTTTGCATTTTTTTCCAAGAACATGATTTGACTCCTATGGGAGTCGATAGGAATGACACCTGAGCAAGAAGTGGGATTGTTCAGACTGGATTGTATCATTGTACTAATGTGTTTCTACATGTATTGTGAACTAGACTAAAGTCATCAATGTATTTTATGGAAGGCACCAAAAAGTTTCCTTTTTCTAGTTGCCTTGGATCAGTGTTCCTGTGAGTTGAGAGTATTTTTCATTGCTGCAGTTTTTAGGTTTGATGGGTGTCTGCCACGTTCCACCCCAGAGGTAGCTGCATTTCAGTAGTTGATTAAATGAATTCTGTGTGCATTTATACTTATGCACATATGTAAAGCATTTGGAGCGCCTTCAGGCTGACATTGACTGCAAAAATGCAAGGTGTTATAAATCACCACAGCATAATGGTTATGCTGATATTTAGATCTTACCCACCTTTTGCTTCCTGAATAGTTTTTAAATATCTGTTTTCAGCTAGCTAGACCAGGGGCAGGCAATTATTTCAGGTGGAGGGCCACTTAATGAGTTTTGGTGCTTTGTCAAGGGCCTCATGGGTACCCCCCCCTCCCCTGACAGTTGCCATGCCCCCTTGTTTCCACATTGAGACTAGAAGTCCCACCCCCTAACCCTTGCCACTGGAAGTCCCTCCCCTTGCCCCCACCCTGTAAATAATCTGGGGGGGGGTTGCCATCAAAGAACCAAAAAAACCCAACCAAATTATACACTAAAAATTAAACACCTACTAGAACATATTTTAATTTTTATTACAAAAAATATTTTTGTCATGAGCGCCTCAGCACCTGCTACAGTGTTTGCATGGTGTGTATATAGAGATGATAGCATAATAACTCAAAAATAAATTCTTAGTTTTGTATACAGTGGGGGGGTGGAGTGGGTGTGCGTGTGTGTGAGTGCATGTGTATGTATGGTGTGTAAGGTGGGTGTGTATGGTGAGGTGTGGATGTGTGTGTGTGTGGTGGGATGTGGGGATGTGCGTGTGTGGGGGTGTATATATGGGGGTTGTAGGGGCAAGGTTTGGGTGTGAGGGAGGATGGGGGGGTGTGGGGACCCCCCCCACACACACACACTCCTCACATAGCACAACAGCAGGTGGGGCGCTCAGGTACCCAGTGGGGGGTAGCTCCAGGCAGCACTGCACATCAGGGCGAGGGGCGCAGCCTCTACCAGCTCATCTGTATGGCCAGCACTCCCTGCCACTCATGCGCAGCCCCTGCACTCACACAGCAAAGAAGGAAGCCCTATGTGCTGGAGCCTGTTTCCTTTCCTGCTGGTACTGCACAGGAGTGAAGCTTCAGGTGCTGGAGCCTCCTTCCTTCTATGCCGAGTCTGCACTGCAAGGGAGGGAAGCCCCAGGTACCTTCCCCTGGCAGGGTAGGGAAGGCAGCGGGCTCCAGTGCCAGAGAGCTCTCACTGGTGCTGAGCAACCCCAACTGGGAAGGCATCTGGCTTTAGCACATAGGGCTTCCCTCTTTGCTGTGCAAGTTCTTAGAACATGTATGTCATGTGTGTGTTACATTGTTTGGTGTAAAGGCCTAGGCAGACTCTTGAATTGTTACTCAGTTTCTAGCTGTTCCTCATACATGTAAGATTTGCAGTGATTCCTAGAGAAGTTTAAGTAAGGGCTTCATGATTTTATTCCCCTGTTTTGGAATATGAAACAAAAGTTTCATGTCTCCTCTCCACCCTGCCCCAGCTTCCCCTTTTCATCAGTCTCATTTGTCCCAAGAGCTGGACCGAATTATAGGATTTACATGCACCTATAAAATCCAAATGCCCCTTTTTATTTTTATGGCCAGGCTGTTGAAAAAGGCAGCCATCACTGGAGGGACAGAATTGACTTCTAATTTTTATTGTTGACAGAAGGTATTCTTAATCAGGGAGCAAACTGCACTTGAAGCCTCTGTCACTGAAACAGCTGAATGATGCCCCTTACCAAACTAAGTTATAACATCTGAATGCTCTCCAATTAAGCAGCTCAATGATTTCTCCACTCCCCCACTCAGAAGTATAACTCAATGCAGTAATATATTAAATTTACTATTCACATTTGTCCTTTCCTCTTTGTCCAGTGCACAGGGTCTGACTCTCCTTCCTTCCTCCTGGTTTAGATAGCAGTGTAACACCATTTGTTTTATGGGATGATTCCTGATTTATATTACATGTGTGAGCAGAATCAGGCTCTTGGTACCTATTTTTTTTCTCTTAGTTGATGCTTCCCCACCCTCTCCCATCCTCATAAACTGGCATAGATTTTGCCAATTGAATTTATTCTTTTTAAACAAGCAATGGTAACTTTATTTAATTACATTATCCTTGCTAGATCATGAAGTGACCTCTTGAGAATAATACAAACTCTGTCATCCAAGCTACATTCATTAGGCAAAGATGTTCTAATATTTTTTTTCAACCCAATCTCATTATTCCTGTGCTACAATGGATGGTAAAATATTAAAAGGCAATCTGCTGACTGAGATGTGCTCTGTGCTGCTGCTAAGGACTCAGCCAGATGGGGCGTCCCTTTTTTAGTCATATGAATACCTAAGAGAAGGGTTAATAGAAGAACTAAGTCAAGACCCATGCTGACAGGCTACACAGAGGTTGACAGAATGCACTTCTGTAAATCCCAGGGGCCTAGCCCCTTGCAGATGTAGAACTGCCATCATGCAGGTGCAACGTGCCACTGCAGACCAAGAAGTTTCTTGGCCTGATCCTTTTTGACACTTGTTACCCTCTTGGCTTGTCAACATGCTTTCATGGTGGTATATTGCAGGGTAGGATGTGAAGTGTCCCAAATCCACAGCATGATGTCATGCTGACATTTCAAAGAGTTGACACTGGGGGCCTAGCAGCAAACACAGCTGGGCTTAACAAAGGGGTGGGCAAAATACGGCCCACGGGCTGGATCCTGCCTGCCAGGATATTCTATCTGGCCCTGCTCCTGGCTGCCTGTCAAAGATGACAAGAGCCAGGGGCAGTAGGACCCAGGGGGAGCTGGCAGGACTGAGCAGCCCAATCCCGCCTCACCCCCAGCCATTTCCCTGCCTTCCTCCTGCTCACTGTTCCAGCACCACGTGATCCCAGGCTGCATCACTGGACTGGGGAGCACGAGCTGTGCCAGTACCACAGGGCCAGGAGTGGGAGGGCTGTGTGTGTAGGCAGGCAAGCAGGCAGTGTGTGGGCAGGGACAGTGTGTGTGTATGTTCGTAGGGTGAGTCCCACATGCACACCCCACCATACATATGCCCGCATACCTCCACACGTAGCCCAGCCACCCTCCCCCTACACACATCCTCCCACTAACCGCATACCCACCCACACCCCACATATCCACACACACACCCACAAGCTCCCTCACCCCACACCCCCTGTATCTATCCACCCCCATAGACACACCCTCCCCTGTACCCCAAATACCCACACACTCACAGCCTCCCACAAATCTATACCCAACCCCCACAACATACAAGAGTCAGACTTCATTTTAAGCAATCACCTATATGTACATTATACAAACACATGTAAATCAGGACAAAAATATTTTTTGAAATCAAGTTAATGAATGTTGTAGATGTTTTCTTTTAGAATATAAATTCTTATTTTTCTGGTTCCAAGATGGAAAAATCCTTGCTGAAAGGAGTACTTTTGAGGGCAAGGGGAGGGGCTTCTGTTGGCAAAGGTCAGGGGTTAGGGGCCGGGATTTCCAGTCACAGGATGACAACCAGAGGGTGGGGCACCTGTCAAGGGGTGGGGCTACCCATACGGCCCTCAACAGCTTGCCC